GCTGGTAGTTTCGAACTGCTGACCTTACGGTTCGCAGCCCGATTCGTAACCACTACGCTACTAGAGCTCTTGGGAAATATGTATCAACAGCAACAAGAAAAAATTGTCAAGCAGAAGAGGCTCTGAGAAATAAAAGAAGAGTGAAGTGAGCAGAGAAGGACCTACTATCACCAAGAAAGAAGCCAGGAATGAAGTGTATCCTTTGGGTCTGGGGCACCTGCATTGTGAAACTCAAAGGTCCAGAGAAGACTATCAAGGCACATGGCGATTTACAAGGAATGCTGAAAGAAGATAAAGACCTTTCCCCAAAGCCCACAAAGAAGCCTTCCCCTGGAACCAGCACTCTGAAGTTTGTCTTCTAGTCTCCTAAACTGTGAGAGAATAAATGTCTGTGTGTTATAGCCATCCACTTATGGTATTTCTGTTACAGCAGCACTCGATAACTAAAACAGGTGATATGTACCTTATTTATATTATCAGTAAACTAACCAATCACATAGGTGGACCTTAGCACCTCATTTGCATGACCACACCCACTCATCAGGTGGATGTTACAAAGACTATGGCTACAAGAGCCATATTAAGTAATTGACAGCACTGCAATACCCAAAAGACTTAAAGAATCCATCATATAATTACATAGCAATGCTCGTTGCAGCAATATAAGTAGTCAAAAGGGGGAAATAACCTAAATGCCCAACAACAGATGAACGGATAAACAAAATGTGGTGCATACATAGAATGGAATACTTTCTCTGCCAGTTGGAGAAATGAAGTCTTGATCATGCTACAGTATGGGTGGATCTTGAAGACATTTTTCTGAGCAAAATAATTTAATAACAAAAAGATAAATATGATGTGACTTCATTTATATAAAATGACAAGAATAGTCAAATATATGGAGACCAATGTTTATTGGTGGTTATCAGGGGCAGGAAGGAGAGGGGAAGTGGGTTTGCCAGTATGGAAAAATCGCATTGATAGGGCAGGGTTGCACAGCCAATTATTATAAATGTGGTTGATAAGTTGTACATATGTAAAAAGTTGAATTGGCAAAAGCGTGTGAGAGATATTTACAGAGTAGCTACTAAGGCTGCTTATATACAACCAGAAACCTCAGGGGCTTACTTCCTTGGTTTGGATGTTTAAGGTTACGGCTTCATTGACCATCCCAATTAATTGGCCTAATAACATGTTTAGTGCTTTGGTTCTGCTTCCTAATTAGTTGATTGGTGTATGGAGTTGTAAAAGTTTTCAGTCAATCATCCATTGCCCAACAATTGGTCTCTACTCACCTGAAACAACAGAAGAAGGAGAGTCAGGAATAGGAGGAGGATATGGAATGGGTGGCTGATTATCTCCATGAAAAACTGTCTCATTTGTCACAAGATTAGAAAAAATGGATAGTGCCTGGCTACCATTACTGAACATTTTGATCAAAGATCCCATAGAGGAATCGTCATAGAAGAATCTTTATCAAAAGGGGGAGAAAGCAGAACAGAATTTCAAATACTTGTAGACTCTAGTTTTCTGAGAACATAGTGGGTGGGTGAACTCCTGAAACAATTGCTTTGAGATATCTTTAAACTTTAAACCAACAACGTCCCCTGAAATCTTAATACTAAACAATAATTTAGCTTGTTGTTGTTGAATAACCATGGAGTACTCATAGTGACCCTGCACAGGGTTTCTGAGGCTGCAAATCTTTATGGGAGCAGAAAGCCTCATCTTTCTCCCATGAAACAGCTGGTAGTTTTGAACTGCCGACCTTGAGGTTAACAGCCCGATTCGTAACCACTGTCCATCTTGAGCATTATGTTCTTTTAAGCACTATCTATATAAATAGGAGCAAACTGACTACAACTCCAAAGATTAGATAGGAATCTTAAGGGGCATGATGGAGGAACAACTCAGAAAAAGGTGAGAATAGTTGCGCAACTCAAACACTGTAATCAACGTCACTGAACTGTACATGTAGAAACTTGATTTGGTGTATGTTTGGCTGTGTATATTCTCAACAACATGAAAATGAATAAAATTTAAAGAAAAGAAAGCTCTAAGCAATCTTCAATCTTATACTTGTAGATCTGAGGTTCCTTATTTAAACACACATTAACCTTAATAAGGTTAAGACTTGGAGTTGGGTTCTGGTTCTGCCATTGATTCTGCTCATACTCTGATTAATTTTGTTCTTGTTTTTGTTAAGTGCCATCGAGTCAGTTCCAACACATAGCAACCCTGTATAGGGTTTCCAAGGAGTGGCTGTTGGGTTTGAACTGCTGACTTTGTGGCTCAAACTGATCTTGTGGTCCAGTGTATCATTTTGCAGTGCCACACCAGGACTCCCTCATTAATTAGCATTTCTAAAACCAAGGCTATTGCTGTTTTGCTATGAGTCAATTGTGACTCATAGCAACCCTATAGGACAGAATAGAACTGCCCACAGGTTTCTGAGGCTATAAATCTTCATGGAAGCAGTGGAGTGGCTAGTGTGTTGAAATCATTGACCTTTTAGTTCACAACCTGGCACTTAACCACTAGTTTACTTATCTGTAACATAGTACTGATACTCGTTGCCCTCTGTAGTTATTTTGAAAACTGCAAAATGTACTGTACCATATAACAAATGCTTCTATTTTATTTTTCAGATCATGCCATATTTGGATAAAGTACAACTCCAAAAATAAACAGAAATGCATTCTCTTTGATCCTCCCTCAATGTCTAACTTTACAAATTATTGACTATAAAAGATGCTAAGAAAAATTATGAACAGACTACCCAAACAGACCATTTTATTACGTTTCATAAAACTACATCCTTATTCCTTCCACCCCATTATTTGGACTTAGATGCTTTGAAGGACTTGAGTTATTCAAGATACTTCCCAAAATAAATGACTAAAAAGCTCACTGTAAATGATTTAAAATATTTAAATAATAGTTTTTTAGTCATGCATTTTGGAATGACTATTGATCAGGTTGAATACTATAGTTGCTCAGAGTTAATACTTGCTTCTGAATGCTTAATTACATTATCTTATTCTGTGAGAACTATGATTTTGATCTTTTGAATAAGGGTCATATGAGGTAGTTTTTGGAGTCCTAGTGTGGCACTGTGGGCTAATGCGACAGACTGCAAAGTCATTTGAGCTGCAAGGTCAGTCAGTGGTTCCAGCTCACCAGCTGCTCCTTGGAAACCCTATACAGGGTCGCTGCAGGTTAGAATCGTTAGAATAGACATAACGGCACTTAACAACAACAAGAAGAAGGTGGTTTTCGACAGAACTTTTTGCTGTTGTTCTATTTCATTACCCATTCCCATTTTTGTTGTTTAACAGTCCGCTCTATATGGCAAGTCAAGGACTGCCTGGCCTGGAACTCAGCCTCTCCTTGGCATTTGTCTTTAAATCAGTAAAGTGATCATATTTTGGTTGCCCTCTGCCTCCGTAGGAAGTTCAGATTCCTAAGCCAAAGCATTCTGACGTTAGAAGAGAAATGAATGAACTGGTCTAACATCATGCCTCAGCTAGAACTGCTCTAGGGCAGAGTGTGAATAAGATTAGTCAGCTATGAAGGTATACTAAAAAAAAAAAAAAAAAAAAAAAAAAAAGCCAGACCTAAAGTTAACTCTTTACTTATCAAAAGTGAAATCTGTGAGACTTGGCGCTCAGTGACACTGACTTGTTTTCCTGGGTCTTGCAAGTTTCCTGTCTTTGAAAGAGTGCAATCTTATCTTTCTATTACTGTTGTTATTGCTGTTGTTGTTAAGTGCCATCTAGTGGATTCTGACTCACAGCAACCCTTTATAGGGTATCCAAGGAGCAACTGGTGGGTTTGAACTGCCAACCTCGTGATCCACAGTCCGGTGCTGATCCTACAGTATCACCAGAAGTCTATTACTATTAATGCAAAATATTTGCGTTTTCTATCTCTGACAAGTTTCCACTTTACACAGGTTCTAGCTTTTTAGGGTTTTAGTGTACCTTAGTACCAAGAACTGTGAAGGGTTAGCCTGTTACATTTTCATTGGCAGTGGCAAGATATGAGACCCCTGGGTCAGAGACAATGGACTTTATTACTCAGCACAGCAAGCAGCATGAACCTCATGTTTGAGTTGGTTCCTTTTATTGAGCCACCCCCACCACCAAGACCCATGTGGAAATGGAAGCTGTCTGTGTGGATGCCACACTCACAAAGGGTTTGTCTCATACTTGAGGAACCCTCAGTTTAGAAAACCCAACCTTTACCCCATGGGAATATCTTTATGAGTTGGGACAGAAAACAGACCTGCCCTCTGGCTCCAGCGGAAGATACTGTTAAGGCAGGGAGCCTAGGAGGTCTCTTGGAAAGAGTTTTTGAGAAAGCCAACACTTTGTCTCAAGGAAAGGAAGTCTCTTTGGTTCTCTATTGTACGTACACCCAACACCTAGCCCAGTTCATGGCACATATACAGTACTTGCTTAGTTAATGTCCAGTGAGTGGATTTTCACCAGTGGTTGATTCCTAAGAACTGTAGCCCCATAGTCCCCTGGAGAAACTCCTTGAGCAGCTATGATGGGTCCAGCTGTGGCCTCAGGTAACCCAGCCTTCAACATCTAAGTCTCCCTGAGACAAGAAGCCTAGAGAATCTCTTGGAAGATGAAAGCATCAACCCCAAGATCTTGCCCCCATTTACAGTCTGTTTATTATAAACAGACAACCTGTAAGAGCTCTGTATCTTACTTCCTCTTATTGGAGGCCTGGTGTGGCGCTATGGGTTAATGTGCTGGACTGCAAGGTTGGTTTGAACTGCAAGATTCGTGGTTCAAGCTACTAGTTGCTCCCTAGCTGCTTCTTGGAAAGTCTATACAGGGTCATTATGAATAAGAACTGACTTGAAGGCACTTAACAACAGCAGTCTAAACTGGTTCAATCTGCCTTAAGTGATGACCTTTTCTTGTGGGTGGCAGCTCCTGGGAGGGGCTAGAACTGGAGTGTTGAAGCATGACATCGCATAATAAATTTTGTCTGTTCCCACCAAAGACCTTTTCACTGGAATCCATCCTGAAGAAATGCTGTGTGCACACCCAATTAGCATGACCTCTCCTTAACGGGCCATTTCCAGGAAACCCTGCCAATCCTTATGAAAAAACATGATGCTTATTCCCTACCCAGAATCTTTTCAAGCCCTAGCAAAGCCTTTGTTCATGGTTTATCACATCAGATTAGTTAATCATCACGGGGAACCATCATGTAACTGCCATGTTATGTAATTACATAACTGCCAAACCACTGAGAATCATGACCCAGTTAAGTCGACATCTGTTTTGGGGAACACAATACAGTCTATGACAGATGTAAAGCCAGGGAATGAAAAGGGTAGGTTGGAGGTTTGCGTGCACTCAGTTGTAAAACTGTTGCCCAAATCTGCCCTTTCTGTCCTCTCTGCAATGTGATGATGGGTAGGATGGGTGAATGTCTCCATAAAACATTCCAGAAGAGCAGAGTCTGCAGAGGTTACCTTGGAGATTTCAGTGTTTATTATTATTATAGACTCCTGTTCCTCATTCATGAGCCTGTGAGGCTGCTCTAGGGAACACTATGAAGCAGACGTCACACTGAACTCAGAATCACCCCACCCAAGTCCAGTGCCCCAGGACCAAAATGCTGTACCTTAACTCTCCTTTGCCTCGAACACAGGCTCATAGGCTTTCTCTGGTTTCTCATTTCAAGAATGTATTTAAAGGTGATATAGTACAGTGGCCTGGAACATCTTCTTGTCTGCTGTCTTCCTCCCCCATCAAAAACTTAACATCCCCTCTCCCACCCTGTTGTCACCCTGACCACTCAGTTCCTTGAAAATGAGTCTTTCTTGTCTTGGTGCTCTCACATCTTCTCCTCTGTTTGCCTGGAGGCACTTTCCCCATTCTGCATAGATCTGACACTTGTGACCCTTCAGGTCTCAACAGAGGCCTTTACAGAGCACTGCATCTTAGTGCTGCCTCTCTCAGAACTCCCCACCACAGCACTACATTTGTTTCCTTCAGAGGAAATTCTAAAACACTTTCTGTGCTGTCTGTCTTTCACTAAGAGTCTGTATCCTTCAAAGAGTGAGTTGGCATCATTCAATACTGTGTTTTGAAACCTGCAACCTGACATGGCAAAGAGCTCTGGTAGTGTGTTGTTGTTGTTGTCAAGTGCTGTCGAGTTGGTTCCAACCCATAGCGACCCTGTATA